AGTGGTATATAACTTTGTTTTCGAACCCTATTTTATTGGTTACTATTTTCTCTTCTAAGATGATCAAGTTTTGCTGTCCGAAGTAAAATTTATGGGATCATGTTTTTTTTTTTGGGCAATTTGGTGTATAGCCAAAAAAAAAATTATAATTTAAAAAGTAGTTAAAATGACATATGTGGCAAAATAATGGCCATTGGATATAGGGTTTTTGGTTACTTTTTTAGTTATATTTTTTTCTTGATTATACAGCAAATTAACCTTTTTTTTTTGCTAACCAAATTTATGGGATCATGTTTTGTTAGTGATAGTATTACTACGTTTCTATTTCTAGTGTTTCCACATTGGACTTCATTTTATAAATTAATCAAATATTAGTAATTCATTACCAATAAAAAAAAAGATCCCAATATGAACAGATTTTGATAAAAATTGTATTCATTTCATAGTCCCAGGATAATTTATGGAACCATAAACACATTAAAAAAAAGATCCCAATATAAACAGATTTTGATAAAAATTGTATTCATTTCATAGTCCCGGGATAATTTATGGAACCATAAACACATATCGGTACATATAATAGAAAACATAAGAATATCAATTCAAACTTGTAGACCTTAGTAATAGGGGTGGATCTCCAAATTTACTATGTGTTTACTTTCTATACTTTATTTATAAGTTCGTGAAATATAATGTAAGTTTCTCAAAATGAAATTAATAAGATGATGGAATCATGGAACGTTAAAATCGGTAACAAATCGATGTAGCGAGAATAGTAGTTGTGAATTAGTTGATTCCATGTGTCTTTGTAATGCTTTAGAAGCAAAGAAATAAATAAAATAAAGTTTCACTTTTAATACCGATCGAGTGACCTAAGGGAAACAATTAATTACAATGAATGCTTGTTTTTATAATGTTGTTATATAAGCAAAGAATGTTAGGCGAGACATTCCTTTCCAAATATAGCTTGAGAGATAGAGAGTTAGTTGAAAGTTAATTACTGCATTTAGGTGTCCATTACCCAATCTCTTCAATTACTATTCTACCATTTTCTCTAAATAAACCTTTTATTCATTATATGGTAACTAGCATAGGATTCTCTTTCCATCCATAATTTTGTATATGTACTATTTCTAAATATACAAAATACTTTCTACAGCATAAAAAATTTATCAATCAAATTTAAAGCTACAGAAAATACAGAA